TGGTGGTAGTGGTGGCAATAATGCAAGGATAACAATTAATAAAATGTTGTGTGTGTGAGGGGTTTATATAAAAATTTGATTTAAATTTATATTCTGTAGCTAAACATTAGCTAAAAGTTTAATTTTGTTTTAATAATTTTAAAACATATGCGAAACTTCTCTACATTTGATATTTTATAATACAGTTTGTTAGCATTTTAGCAGAATATCGGGAATAACACATAAAAGTAATGCTTTATGACATTTTTAGCAAAATTTGAATATAATGAAAGCGTTCTAACTGAAATAATCAGGTTTCTAAAAGTTATTGCATAAAAACTCGTAGCATTTAAACAAAAAACATTTTTTTTTTTGTGACAATTTTACTTTTAATGCAATAATTTAATATTTAAACTATTAAAATTAAATCCAGTTTTTTTGGGAGTAATTTGCATACAACAAAAAAAAGCATAAGAGAGATTCTCTTAAGTCCCGAGAGAAATTGCATATAAATAATCCAAGATTCTGGAAACAGATCATCATTCAGTTTTTTACCAAACAAACGAATAATACACAACAATTTAAACAAAATGAAATTCTTCATTGTTTTCGCTGCTCTCTTCGCCCTCGCTTTGGCTGCTCCCGCTGAACACCAAGCTGAAATCGTTCACCAAGAATCTGATGTTGAACCTGAGGGTTTCAGATTCCTTACCGAAACCTCTGATGGTACCCATCACGATGCCGAAGGTAAGGTAAAGGATGTTGGCTCTGAACACGAAGCCATCGTTGTTCACGGTTCTTACTCCTGGGTTGATGAAAAGACTGGCGAAAAATTCACCGTTAACTATGTTGCCGATGAAAACGGTTTCCAACCTGAAGGTGCTCATTTGCCCAAACCCGAACATTAAGTGAAAGTATGAAGTGAATTGTTAAATTGTTGTTTAAAATAATTTAATAGTTTATGATTTTTGAAAAAGAAATAAATGAATATGAATTTTAAAATTTTATAAAAATCTTGATTTTTAATTGTTTTAAGTAGCTGAAAAGTTTTTGACGAAAATCTTTGTAGTGAAAAGTCGAAATCGAAAATAAAGGTTTCGAGAACAATATCACAGTTTATACATATATGGGCAATTTCGTGTCAAGTGACCCAACTCATAAAATCGATTTGGATGAAATTTGCACCAGGGTTAGTGCTATTGTATAGTAGGCCAGGCACAGCTCTATCGGCCAAGAACTGCCGGACTTAGAGGGGGTTAAAATTGTAAATTTTGGTCATACAAAGTTTTATTCAAATGAGTGTAACTTTTCACCTATTAGTCCTAGCAAAAATTGTTCAAAGGAGTTCAGATAGCTATTTCTTCATTATTTCCACTTTTTTTAATTTAAAAACTTTTTTAATTTTTTCGGATTAGACTGTATTCCACATTACATAATTATTTTTAAATCGCTAAGGTGATGGGTAGAGGTTATCCAATAAAAAGTTGTCTCAACCACTATTTAATTACCTTCGATATTAGTTAGTTTGAATGCTTGTTATATCAAGCTCAAAGAAATACACCTGGGCCTCCATCGGGCCTGTAGTGCCCTCCTTTAACAGTGTCTCTGGTGGGAGTCGAACTCAGGACCTCCAGTCTAACATACATACTATAACACTAACCACTATCCTACCGGAGGTACATTAGACTAATATCCCTTCGATATTGGGCTTAAAACTCTACGGAAAATGGGTTCTATTAGCAGTTTAAGATTCAACCGCTGGTCTATAAAAATAGTGCAAAGAACCAAAACTATCAAAATTTTCTGACCAATTTATAAGTAAAGAAAATCGTCAAGAAGCTTTTGCGAATCTGTAGACTACACAAAAAACTCTATCAGACTTAGTATGGGGCAATTTAATCGAAACAATCTTGAAAATAATATATAGCAGAGTTGATTAAGCTATGCCCGTCTATCTATCTGTATATCGGTTTGTAAGGTACCAAAATATCTAGAACCAAATCTTGAATAATTCTATAATTTCGAAAATATAAAGATATAAGAAATTCCAATATGGAATATCTTCAAATTATTGTCGACTTCAAACTATCCTGAAAACTAAACACCTACTGTAGAGCTTAGAAGGCAATGGTAACCTACTACTATCTGTATTAAGATGTTCAGGATAAAATAGGGACTTAGTCCCAACATAGTTCAATAAAAATACATACACAGAGGGAAAAGGAAATAACATTTAGACAACGGATTGTTTGTCAATAGTGAGCTTACCACGTTTGTTAACATTTAGACAACGGATGTGTATGAGTATGAAATTTAGATTTCGACAACGAATTGTTGCAATGTTGTCAACATTACAAAGTGTTGTCGTACGTATGTATATACTTTGACAACGGATGGTATTGAAAAATTATAAACAGTTTGGTGTCAATTTGGTACCAGGTGTGTATCTTTCTTTTTCTCTCTGTGTAGCTGTAGTACGTCCTATTTTTGCAATCTCTAGGATGGTGGACTTTAACTAAAATAAATTTTATTGTACAACTTATTCCTATCAATTTTCGGATGTTAGATTTTCTATCATTATTTCTATGTTAAACATAGCTAACTTCTGGAGAAAACACGATTTCCCCAGATTCTAATATGTATTTTGATTTATGTTACTCTCAGCCGGTGTATAAACAACAAATGAATTTTCTATAAAAATTCTCTTTAAATACATACTTGATTCTAAAGTATTATCAAAAAATATAATAAATTTTGCCAACCAAGTCACCGAGACATGGTCGATTTTATGCATATTGCAGTTATATAAATTTTGACTACAATAAAGAAAACCAGTTTTTTTAATGATTTGCATAAATACTTAGAAGAAATGTCTTTAAAAAAACAAGCTTTAACATTTTTGGATTCAATACTAAACACAATCTTATGATTTAAAAAAAATCCCTATAAAAACTTTTAGATTCGTTTAGAACATTATCATTCAGTTTTTACTTTCGAACAGAATAATTCAATACAAAATGAAATTCTTCATTGTTTTCGCTGCTCTCTTCGCCCTTGCTTTGGCTGCTCCCGCTGAACACGGTGCTGAAATCGTGCACCAAGAATCTGATGTTGAACCTGAGGGCTTCAGATTCCTTACCGAAACCTCCGATGGTACCCATCATGATGCCGAAGGCAAAGTAAAGGATGTTGGCTCTGATCACGAAGCCATCGTTGTTCACGGTTCTTACTCCTGGGTTGATGAGAAGACTGGCGAAAAATTCACCGTCAACTATGTTGCCGATGAAAACGGTTTCCAACCCGAAGGTGCTCATTTGCCCAAACCCGAACATTAAGTTTTTGACTGAAAATAAGTTGAATTGTTTTGTTAAATCATTTAATAGTTTTTTTATTTTGAAAATAAATGAAGTAGAATAATTAAATTGATTGGAATGTTTATTTGATTTATGTGTTAGGAAGTGTTGGTTGTAATGATCAATTTCTGTTTGAATTTATAGTTTTTTTTTACTAATAAATACATATATCTTGGATTAGTTGATGCCTATTAACCGGGAATTTACCGAATTCTGTTATCGACAAATTTAGTCATAAATACTTCGATTGTTAAGTTTGATATACATATATATGTACATGGCGCCATCCTCTTGAAACAATATCACTCCCGGATCATTGTCATTAATATGTTGAATCTAAAAAAGATTTATCATAGTGCGATGAGGATCATCATTGATGGTAACGCGAGCTCCAATGATGCCAAGATCATGTAAAAAACATTTGTTTATTTACGGAAAAATCCTAAGATGTTTGCATCCTGGATTCCGTTATCTTCTTTTTTATAAAATCTAAATACAACAACAACATAAAACAGTAAGGCAGCTTGATATTTAATGAACAAAATATATTTTGAAAATACATAGGCTGTTTCGGAATTTTGCTCATATCTCCGTTGCTAACAGTCAACTTCTCGAAACTCAAGATTTGGATCACGAAAATATCTGGGATCTTTAGAAAATTGTTTAAAACAGGTTGTCGGTCAGATCTTAATCGATTCGATTTCTCTAAAACATATATAATAGTATTACTCGAGATTTGGATCCAGACATATCTGCGGTCTTTAGAAATTTGATTTTAAACGATAGGCAGTCAGACAATGCGTAATCGACCTGACTTCTTGAAAGCATATAGAATTATATATATATCTAGGGTCTTCATAAAATTGATTTTAAACGACAGGCAGTCGGACAGAGATTAATAAACTCCGTAATCTATAGGCATCTCAAATATACAAACTTAATGATCAACTTATATAAACGCTTCACACGAAGGTGAAGTGTTTAATAAATCTTATTTATGACCAGATAGGTGACTTTTTGTTGGTTTGCCGGTTCGAGAGAAGCTAGAGGGATAAAGTTTACCGAAATATTCTTTATTGAAATCTTTCCAAAATCGACTCTATAAGATCTCCTTCAAAAAATACTTTTGAATATACATATATCAACTAATTTTTCCATGGATAGATCCATAATTAATCCTAAGTACCCTCCACCGCTTTTTCAGAAAATCGCTTTAATATTAATAAATTAAATTAAAAATCCAAAAAAAATCGATAAAAACTATTTGGTATAAGAAATAAATTACTTTCTCGAATTCTGAAGAGATCAGTTCATAATTGACTCAAATCCACAAACAGGCCCTATTCCGAAAATAATCGAATTTCTATAAAAAAGATAAAATAAGCTCAAATGAATACATTTTCATTTATGTTTCAAGTTATTTACTAATATTTAATTATGACCAACAACCCACTGTGCATTATGAATTTTAAGTTTATTGCAAGAATATAAATTTTAACTGCAACAAAACAAAAAAAATCCAGTTTTATTTTAATTATTTGCATAAACATTTAGAAGAAATTTCTTTAATACAACAAACTTTAACATTTTAGGATTCGGTGCAAAAAAAAAAAAAAACACAAAATTAATAATTTCAATATAAAAACTCCAAGATTCATTATGAAAATCATAATTCAGTTTTTACTTTCGAACAGAATAATTCAATACAGAATGAAATTCTTCATTGTTTTCGCTGCTCTCTTTGCCCTCGCTTTGGCTGCTCCCGTTGAACATGGTGCTGAAATCGTTCACCAAGAATCTGATGTGGAACCTGAGGGCTTCAAATTCCTTACCGAAACCTCCGATGGTACCCATCATGATGCCGAAGGCAAAGTAAAGGATGTTGGCACCGAACACGAAGCCATCGTTGTTCACGGTTCTTTCTCCTGGGTTGATGAGAAGACTGGCGAAAAATTCACCGTTAACTATGTTGCTGATGAAAACGGTTTCCAACCCGAAGGTGCTCATTTGCCCAAACCTGAACATTAAGTTGAATTTAATATATTAAAAGACCTTTGAATTTAATAGTATTTTTGGAAAATATATGTTGCAATAGAATAATTAAATTTTGTAATGGTTTTATTTATTGAATTATTTTTTTGGAATTATGATGGAGAGGGATATATTTGGATTACCCCATTGTGCATTTTATAAGAATATCTAGCTGTGCATGTCCGTCTATCTCTTGAAGGCATGATAGTGCCTAAATGTAGGAAACAAGCAGAATGAAATTTTCTACATATTTATGTTCTCCACGGAAAAGGTTTATTTGGTTTAGAGAAGACCCCAAGTATATCAAGTATTAAACATTAACAAACCAACCAAAACTTAATTTTGAAAAAAAAAAATGGCCACTCGATTATCGTTTATGAAAAACAGAGCAAGCATTTCCTATGCCCGCGTGCTTTTCGGCCGTTACTGAATTTACAACAACGTACTCACTCGTATTAAAAACTCATTCAGTCTCGTTTGAGCGTTCATTGAACGAGGTTGTGTTGTCACATGTCTGCTAAAGCAGGGATGGACATATAATTTATAATTTTTTTCTAAATAAACGTATTTTTAAAGATTTTTTAATCCTCTTTAGCTATTTTATGCAAATTAGTTTATTGGATCAAAAAATCGTTTTCTCTATGTTTAGGAACAAAAACATATCTTCTATAGAAATTGAAACTAAGACTGATATCCTTAAGTGATTAGTGCTGAGTAGATAACTGTTTGGTTTTTAAAACCATTATAAATCGACTTTCGAACAATCGACTTTTTGTCGAAAAAAGTTGAAGTCGACTATTTTGTTTCAAAAAAGTCTGTGAAAAAAGTCGGAAAGTCGACTTTGTTAATAAAAGTCGAAAAAAGTCGAAAAGTCTGAAAGTCGAAAAAAGTCGATAAGTCGAAGAAAGTCGAAAAGTCGAATAAAGTCGAAAAAAGTCGAAAAGTCGTAAAAGTCGAAAAAGTCAAAAACTCCAAAATTGTAGAAAAAAATCAAAAAACAGTCGAAAATTTTAAAAAAGAGAAAAAAATGTCAAAAACTCTAAAATTGACGGAAAAACTCGAAAAAAATAAAAAAATAGTCGAAAGAAAGTCGAAAATAGTCAAAAAGTCGAAAAAAACGAAAAGTCGGAAAAAGTCGAAAAAAGTCGGAACAAGTCGAAAAGTCGGAAAAAATCGAAAAGTCGACTATTACTTTTCATAAAATGCAAAAAGTCGACTTTTAACTAAATAAAAAAAGTCGAAAAGTCGACTTTTCGTTTCAACTATAGAACCCTAGTGTAGAGATTCATTATTTTAACAATCGGGGTGTACTAGTATTAATACTTTGTTGATATTCAATATGAAGATTACAAGAAACTGTGTTATGATGGAGTATATAAACTGATGAAGCTTCTCCTTAACTTGGAGGTCTTTTAATTCCTACGATCGTAGAGCGTGATACATACTCAATCATGCTAGAGGCTTGTACCAAGATGTACATAGTCTGTGATCTTTTTAGATCGGAGCATTCACGAGAAAAGTGTTTTATCTTCTTCGCCTAAACAAATTATGTAGTTCTTTTTAGGTGGGTAGAAAATAGGATCAGAAATGCGTCCTATAATATTAGTATCTAGTAGGTATGTTTCTAAGAAGCTTAACGTATGTCAAAGGCAGAGAAAATCAACGTCCTTTTCAGTGCATGATAGGACCAGACCATTTTAAATCGTACACAGAGGAAAAAAAATGTACACGCCTGGTAACAAATTAACATCAAATTTTTCAATAACATCCGTTGTCAAGTATATACAAGAACATCTAATGTTGACCACGCAACGTTGTCAACATTGCAACAATTCGTTGTCGCTATCTAAATTTTATGCATATCCGTTTTCTAAAAGTTAACAAACGTGGTAAGCTCACTATTGATAACGGATTTTGAGCTTACCACGTTTGTTAACTTTTAGACAACGGATGTGCATAAAATTTAGAATTTCTTCTAAGTTGGGATAGGAAATGAATGTGCGAAGCATACTTCTAGAAAACTCCTTAAATTTAAATAACATAAAAACAACAATTCAATTTAATTATTCTATTTCATTTATTTTCAAAATAAAAACCTATTAAATTATTTAACAAAACAATTCAACTTTCGCCGGATTTATTATCACACAAGCACTTAATGTTCGGGTTTAGGCAAATGAGCACCTTCGGGTTGGAAACCGTTCTCATCGGCAACATAGTTAACGGTGAATTTTTCGCCAGTCTTCTCATCAACCCAGGAGTAAGAACCATGAACAACTATGGCTTCATGATCAGAACCAACATCCTTTACTTTGCCTTCAGCATCATGATGGGTACCATCGGAGGTTTCGGTAAGGAATCTGAAGCCCTCAGGTTCAACATCAGATTCTTGATGGACGATTTCAGCACCATGTTCAGCGGGAGCAGCCAAAGCGAGGGCGAAAAGGGCAGCGAAAACAATGAAGAATTTCATTTTGTATTGAATTATTCTGTTCAAAAGTAAAAACTGAATTATAACTTTCTCTCATAAGCTTAAAGCTTTTATAGATCTATTTTGGGGTTGTTTTTTGGTGGGTATTGCATAGCAAAATGTTAAAGTTTATTTTTCTTAAAGAAATTTGTTTAAAGTATGTATGCATATTAATAAAATAAAAACTGGATTTTATTTTTATATTTTAAAATATAGAATTATTGCATTGGGTATAAATCACTGAAATTGCACAGTGGAACCGGATAGTAAAGATAATGTAGTAAATTTAGATAATTTAAGTGATTTGGTAAATGGTGTCTCAACATTTTATGCTGTTCGACCAAGAGTAAATCAACATGTAAAAGACTAAAGTCTAAGGTCCTGGTTGATCTTACTTGATATATCAAAGTACTCTTTGTAAGCGACAGCGAATACAGTCTTCACTTTCCTTAGCGTAGATAACTGAGAGCGAGGACAGTAGTGTGATGCTTTATTATACTCTAAGTAAATTCATTGTACTCCAAGTAAATTGTGATTTATTTTATTTACTGTACAAATCAAATTTTTGCATGAATTTTGCAATACCCTGTAAAATCTGTTTCTTTATAACTTTTAAAGTTTTTCATATAGAAAAGAGTTTCGTTATTTCAAAGATGTTTATGATCACAAATCATGTTGCATTTTTTCATAACATTAAAAATTTTAGGATCTAATATATTCAAATTTTCAATATAAAAACTCTGATGATTCGTTAGTGAAATCATTATTCAGTTTTTACTCTCGAACGGAATAACACAACAATTCAAACAAAATGAAATTCTTAATTGTTTTCGTTGCTCTCTTCGCCCTCGCTTTTGCTGCTGAACAACATGCCGAAATCGTTCACCAAGAATCTGATGTTGAACCTGAGGGCTTCAGATTTCTTACCGAAACCTCCGATGGTACCCATCATGATGCCGAAGGTAAAGTAAAGGATGTTGGTACAGAACACGAAGCCATTGCTGTTCACGGTTCTTATTCGTGGGTTGATGAGAAGACTGGCGAAAAATTCACCGTCAATTATGTTGCTGATGAAAATGGCTTCCAACCTGAAGGTGCTCATTTGCCCCAACCTCAACATTAAGTTGAATTGTTTTGTTAAATAAATTAATAGTTTTGGAAATAAATTAAATGGAATAATTAATTCTATTAATTCGTTTTGTTATTGAAAGTATTTTGTCCAACATTGAAAGTTTCGATTGGGAGATCAAAGGTTTTTAGTTGATACTGAGGACATCAGAGTGGTTTGATCATTATAATTTTTTTTTTTTAAGAAGTCTTTCATAACACAAGCCACAATGATAAAGCTTTTTAGAAACAATTTATCTAAATCTCAGTATTATTTGGTGTGCCGATTCCGAAGATGCCAATATATAAGTGGTGTCATACACCTATTTTCCACATCTTTTTCTCTAAGCGGTCGTGACTATATATTTGTACTTGATATGGAACAGCTGATATCAGATTCTGTTTCAACAGCTAAAAATCATTGAAATAGGTTTAAAAAAAGTTTCTTACAAACCTTGATTTTGTTGACCTGCATAATCTATTCGGTAGACATATCGGTTAAGCGATCTAAGCCTCATTATCTCACTGTTAGGGAGAGGTTGTTTATCGTTAGGAAAACGAACATTGTCTAAACAAATCTGTGACAACAAGGAAAAAGTACATAAGTTGCTTTTTGTACTTTTCAGGAAATCGTTTTAAAGTTTTAAAATTCCTATACAAAACTATAGAATATCTCATTTAAAATGTGAATGAAATTTTTTCTTGTTTTGAACTGATTTTTATAACCAATTGATACAACATAGAGTTGAGTAAACTGATTTCAAATAACTTGAGATATGTACTTTTTCATTTTTGCCACAGAACTTCTCTCAAATCTAAATCATCCCAAATTATCAATTATTGACTTGTCGAAGATCACACAGTGACATAATTGAATAAGATTACAAAAAGGAAATAAAAATCTTATTTCTAAGTGATTGGACCATCTAGTCCGACCATTGATAGCTCAAGAGGTCTCCAATATAGAGCATCTCAGGGATATAAAACATTAGACGAGTACTAAGTTCTAAAGAATTAAAATTAATATATAATGTTCCACTTTTCACTCACCCTATATAGGGCGGTAAAGGAATTGTTTAAAAAAAGCTAAAAAAAATTCAAGGAACGGACCAGGGTTATTCAAAATTTATACATATTTATGTATAATTCAAATTTTAATGAAATGTACTCAAATCGCATAGATGATGCCAATAAATGAAAACTAATTTTGTAAAATTCAATATTGTCTTAATCATCTTGATAAGGGGTTCTATAATCACTCCCTTATCAATATAAGACAATATAATCTTAAAAATCTTATTTTCAGTATTTTTGAAAACGTTTTTCGTAAATGCTTGGAAAACAAATTTCAGATTTTTTGGACTTAAAAATTTCTCACCAACAATCCCTTTATCGGTCTAGATATTAAAATAAAGATTTAATTGTTCTTCATAAAATCCCCAAATTCCTTTAAACTCCCCAAAAAACTTCCATAGAATTTAAATTTACATTAAAATCGTT